ATAGGAATAGGGACCTTTGCACAGGCACCCGCAAAAAGTGCCTCGTCACCATCGATGGGAGCGGAAGCAGGTTGATGGATATCATGCACTTCGTGCAAAGGCTAGGGTCGTTGAGAAGGTTGTCGAAGGGTAGTGGTTGCGTCCACTAGAGCCCTCGACGGCGGCGGTGGCAACCAAGCGTAACCGGATGAGTTGCGATGACCCGCAGAAGGCGCCTCTGTTGAAGCACCACGTATCACACGTGAAGCCATACCAGCAGTAAATAAAGGGGCCAAGCCAGCCGATGTGCCCGCATTCTTTCCCCAATGACCACCCTCAACGAAAACACGTGTCCTGCCCTCGTCAAACTCCTAAGGTGACTATGTCCGTGGCACCCCTGATTTTTTTTTTAACTTATGATTTCAATCAGAGATAGGTTGACCTCGCCGTACAAGGAGTTGGGTGAGACGTGATATAGTTTTATTTTTTATACACTTAGGTGTAGTCTGGGTACTGACCTATGATACGTTGCACATCTCTTTCACTCAATTTGATTCAAGGTTTGACTAAATTCAACATGATCCTATGATGATAATCTTATGTTATCATTGATAACATGTTGGTTGTCAATTCGTCGGTCTCTAGCTCAACTCAAACTCAGTCACGCAACTCACCTAAGGCCTTAGCCCCTGTGGGTTGAAATGTTATTTTGGGTTTTTACCTGGACTTTTATTAAATGATCATTAAAAAAAAACTGAGTGCTTTCTTTTAGAAGGCTGGACAAGATTGTGGCTTGTGTGAATAAGGCAAGGGGTGTGAGTGCAGAAAGTAGTTGAAGTTAACCTCGTGTAGTGTGTGGTCTGACGATGTTGAATTTGTGTATGATTGCAAGTATGTTTTGTGATTTGGAGTCAAAATTTGACTTGTCTGCGATCATTTGCATATTTGGAAGGAAGTCACGCTGTGAGTGTGAGAGTGATCGCCTCATGTTCAAAAATCCTACTATGTTTATGTTTTGTGTTTTCACGAGATCTGTTTTGACCATAAACGAGGATTGAGTGAAATTAAGATGAGAGAAAAGGGGATCCCCTTTAATTTTGCTTATTAAGTTTTATAAGTTTGACGTTGAGGTATGTGGCAGCTATCAAAGTCAAACTCCTTGACCTTGTTTGAGGCCTCCAAAGATGGAACCCCATTTCCAGGGTTAGAGACTTTTGTCTGCCACTAAAGGTCAAAGTCCGCCTACCACTCCTTCGCACAGGGTGCAAAAGAGGATAAATCTTGCAATCGCATTCACGATTGCTTAGTGTCAAGAGAATAACCTCTCAAGACGCGTGTTAGCCGGCACTTGAGTGTTAGATGCGATCTTCAAGGTCATTGAGGACCGCATGGTCATGGGTACCATATATTATGTCATCCTTGCGACTGCTTGCGTATTCATACATGACTAGTCAGAATGAAAAAGGTTTGTGTCGCTGCGCTATTTATCTAGAGTCTCACGTGAGACACTCACTTATTTCGGTGTCGGTAGGTTATGGGTCGAATAAGGAAAAAAAAACTAGGTGCGATTTGTGATGAAGCTTTTTTTTTTTTTCTTGAATCGTATCGCGTGGTTAGATTGTTCGTTCTAGTCGACCGGCATAGAGTCGTGATCGAGAGATCATCCCTCGAAGCATCAGTTCGTGCGCGGGTCCGATTAAAGTGTTCGACCGTGCGTACCCCGTATGCTACAACGAACAAGAAATGCTTTCGATTGGGCCACCTCTGCAGTTGCATTCGAGCAACTTTCGCACGTGGTTCGACAACTCGACAGAGATATGCCTACCTGAGGGTGGTGACAACCCCTCGGGTAAAGGTAAGTTTTTCCTCGCGCAACCTCGATCCCATCGTAGGGGTTCGTAAGAGGTACGACAGACGCACTCGACTGGATATTATACATGAGTGGTTCAAGTGAGAGTTCGTTATGTATGATTTTGTTCATTGTGTTATAAGTAATGTTTTTTTATAATTTTTGTTTTTTTTTTACTTTCTTTCATTAAAGTTTGACACGTATCGTAAAAATTTGAGTTTTTTCGCCTCCAAAAAGTATTGATGTATTAGATCCTTGGGGAATCCCCTTTCTAAATACTCTTATTATACTTTCATTTGAAGTTGTTGTAACTTGGGCTCATTATGTTATATTAGAGAAGTTTAAAACAACAAGCGGAACTTTTGTGAGCTTGCATTACAAAAGGAGTTTGTGAAATAAGTGTTTCTTGTGATTTTTTTGACGGAGCAACTCTGCTGATGAGCCTACAATCAACGTAAATACAGAGAAGAAGTTGCTTCGTGCCTTGCCACGTATGATCTAGTATCCCACCTACACGTCGCGTTTACAAACTCCCCGTTCAACTGCATCTCGGAGATACGGTCGGAGATATTCTAATGATTGACTAAATCCAGTGACACCTTACTGAAATGTAATGGGTATAATCCACAAAAAACCAACATATGTCTGTGAAGGATCCTCAGAGAGTATATGTGAAACAATTGCAGGGATTTAGTATAGTCGTTGGAACAAGTTGAATGTAAAGTCCGTGTTATGTAGAGTATCCCATACTTCTCGTTCCCACCAACCAGCTGCCGAAAATATTTTGATTATTGAACAAATGAAAGTTATTTTATTTATACGTATATGTACACGAAGACGTGAGTTATATTGAATACTCAGTAAATTATACTAGACATTGTAATAGCTAGAATAATATTTATCAATGCTAACGCGGCTAAATCCGCTATAAACAATTTTGGCATAAAACTAAAACTATTCCAAATACATTGATGGTCATTATTATATAAATGAAAACACCTATCAGTAAAGACTGTATTCCTTCGATAGTTCCACATAAAAAAACAATTAAAAGAGCGGTACATGCTTTTCAAAAAAGTCCTGCAAAATCTTGTGTGACGCTGGCGGGAGGGTCCCCCTGTGGGACCGATGTGGGGGATAAAAGAAAGGAAAAGGGGGCACAAAATGACGGTCGACCACGAAAACGGAAAAAAGAAAAGCGGGGAACAAAACGACAGGCGGCGGGAAAAAAAAAGAAAAGGGGGGGGGCACAAAATGACGGCCGGCCGCGAAAAAGAAAAAAAAAACGGCACCCGCATATCGGATGGCTCTCCTCCGAGATGTTCATCCGCATCACTGCTCGCTGTGTGCCTCGGCCTGGGGGCGCGCTGTGAACATTTCGGTACGCGCCCCTCTGCACACTCCCCCGCCCTCTATCGCCCCTCACCAAAACTTCAACCCGTTTCCGGCGCGCAGCGGACCATCGACCTCCCCCCCTGCGACAAATGCACGGATAGGATTATTGAACTGAGGGTCCGCAGAGAAATCACAGTTATTTTATCCTGTCCATCTGATTGCAACTGGACTCGAACGTGAGTCTGCATTTCAAGAGTTTCAAGGTTTTACCGACTGATCAAGGCCAATGGGTAATATTCGGAAATTCTGTTCCATGAGATGTACACCTACCGGGTCGGGTGTGCACGTGGGTTGTCATGAGGCCGGCACCAGAGGGGCGGAGCTGGCGAGGACTACCGGCCCACGGACGCGCACCCTCGGGCGTCCGACGCCATAGCTCTTTCCTCGTAGATCTCTCCCTCTCTCCCTCCCTCTGTCTCTGCCTCTCTATCGCTCTTCCCGCCTCCCTTATGCCCTACCTTGGTCGCATTCGTGCGAGAGAGAGGTTTTGGTGAGGGAGCAGCACCAGCAGCACCACACACACACACACACACACACACACACACAGAGCCTCAGGTGGAATGGAGAAGAGGGAGGTGGGAGAGGATAGAGGGGAGAGCGCGCTTCTGTCTGAAGGTGAGCGATCTTCTGGTAGGTAGCAAAGGGACCCCCCGTTAAATTCCGCCTTTTGCAGAGATCAAGGGTTCAAAAAAAAAGGGGAAAAAAAGGAGCAGAGGAGGAAAGGCAGGGACGAGGTGTGGAAAAAAAAAAAACTGGTCGACGGCTTCAACGAATTTTTGTCCACTAGTAACAACAGGACAAGCAGGAGAAGCCGTCAGACAGAAATTCGTTGAAGCCGTCGACGATTGAGCAAGCGGTCAGACAGAAGTCAGACAGAAGTTGGGGGAGAAGAGAAGGTTCAGCCAAACAGCGATGGCGACTCTAGCTCCTGTTCTTGCCAGGAAGTTGAAGAAGGTCCTGGAAACGAGGACCGACTCGCCGGACCTGTTAGCATCTCTGGCAGTCTTGTCTTCCTTCTACAATGACAATACGATGCAGGCACGCAGGGATTTGCGGACATCCATGGAAAAGCGCGGGCTGTCAATTAATGAAGAATTTCTTCAGGCGTCAGAAGCTGCGCAGAAAGTG